TCACTTTCTTTTTAAAATATATTTTATTGATTTTTTACAGAGAAGAAGGGAGAGGGATAGAGAGTTAGAAACATCGATCAGCTGCCTCCTGCACATTCCCCACTGGGGATGTGCCCGCAACCAAGGTACATGCCCTTGGCTGGAATTGAACCTGGGACCCTTCAGTCTGCTCTATCCACTGAGCCAAACCGGTTAGGGCAACAGATGTCACTTTTTCCTAGTAGACAAGAAAGGTCTTCCAGGCTTTCTCATGTTCCAGTGACCTTTTCAAAGGCCTGAGAAGGTAAATATGAGCATCCCTTCCCAATTGTGTATATAATGTAATTATTCTTCTGCATCATCATTTTATGAGGTTTTGTGTAATTTTTGAGGATATTGACAGGGCTAAACTTTAGGGCCCAGGTCTGGCCTAGTGACTCAGTTGGTTGGAGCATCTTCCCGATATTACAAGGTTGAGGGTTTGATCCCTAGTCTGGGCACATAAGAACCAACCAATGAATGCCTAAATAGCTGGAACAGCAAGTTGATGTTTCTCTCTCCCGCTTCCTCTCTAAAATTGGTAAACAAAAATTGGCCATTTTGGCTCAGTGTTAAGTCTCAGCCCGAGGACCAAAGGGCACTTCCCTCGGTTGCAGGTTTCCCAGCCCCGGGAGGGGTGCTGGGGGGTATGGGTGCTAGGAGGGCATGTGGGAGGCAACAACCAATGTCTCTCTCCCCCTCCTCCCTCCCACTCTAGAAGTCAACTGAAAATATCCTCGGGTGAGAATTAAAAAAAAACTTCAGGCCAAAAAGAAAAGTGTGAATCAAGTCTACAAGTTACTTAATAGAAAAGGATTGGTTTTTTTTAAAATCTGGCCAAGCCTTTACCTTACTCTGGAGAGCACAATAGTTTCCAAATTTGGCTTTCCAGTCAAGGAGCATCTGGTAACCAGCACCACTGAGCAAGAGCTGTAGAGACGACAGGAGTGGAGAGCCCAGCCAAGACCTGCTCCCCCAACCCCTCCAGCCAGAGGTGGAAAAACCTAGTAATACACAATTTTGAACCAGGCTGTGTCAAGTTGTGACTGGTTGTCCTTAAGCTCTTGATCTGTCATACAAGGACTTGGGTAATGAAACATTTCAAGTTGAATGTTCAAGCTGATTTCCTCAGACGAGAGATTACACATCACACAGAAAATATTGCACATCACTCCTTTATTATACTGATCTGTAAAAGACTTAGTAGTTATGCTCAAAATGGGCCCACGTGGCAGGGCCAAGCAACTGGAACATGATTCAGAGCTCACACAGTAAAAGACACACCTGGACATGATCAAGAGACATTTCACTGCCAAGAGACAATGCCAGTGCTGGGGAGGGATTCTAAAACACAGCAGGATAACTCCTACAAGTCAAGGAGCTCATCCCACCTTGGTGTGAGGAATGGCTTATTTTGTGATGGCCACATGTGGGAATAGTTCAACCGCCACTGAAAACCCCAGAAGGGTTTTGTTTTGTATTATTTTATATAGATAGGCTTTTTTTTTTTTTTTTAAAAATGCAACACGTAAACATTCAGGATTGATCCCGATCTTCTGGAGCCAGCTTTTCTGGGGTCAAGGAGGAAATGTTTGTTTGAATCACCAGGCATTCATCTTCCGCTGGAATGACCAGAGCCCCCAGTCAGTTCGCCTGACTGCAGAATAGCGCAGGCCTGCTCTCAGGAACACACAGCCTCTCTTGCCTCTCATTGGTCACGCCTTAACATGGCTCCCCAATAGCCCCCTGCTCTCAAGCAGGTCCTTAGTAATAAACAAAACACTAGCAAAAAAACAAGAGTTATTACCTCTGAACTCTTAGATAAGAGTCTCCCTCGGTCACTTCTTGGCCTTGCCCTGGGCAGACACAGCCTCCATGGCTTTGCGCGCGGTCTCTTCATCCCCCAGGAACTGCATGGGCTTGATGGGCTTCAAGTTCTTGTCTAATTCATAGACAATGGGAATACCAGTCGGCAGGTTCAGCTCCATGATAGCCTCTTCAGAAAGACCTGAAAATACCCACCATGATTAGCCACACAAGACAGGACTCCACCATACCCCTTAGGTTCACTATTTATCCTCCAGGTGACAAAGGCTTTGGTTGGAATTAAAACAAGATGCCCTTTCTGATATTTGAAATAGCAATAATGATCTGTACCATATAGATGGATCTCCTAACACATGCCCCTAATATTTATTTCTCAGCCATTGAACAGCGGGAAAAAGTATGAAAGGTGTGTACCGCAGATCTCTTTCCCAAAGTGGGGTCCAGAAGCCCACAGTAGAGCGGGACTTAAATACATCTCAAATGTCCTATGTAGTCCATCCAGCTTGCAAAAAATCAGCAGATCTGGCCTCTAGGGCCTCAGGTGAAACAACTGAAGATGCAAATTGAGATTCATGTGTGAAACTGTACCAGGTTGTGATTAAGGAAAATTTTAGCAGCAGTTTCAACTGGCAGTCCTAGTCTAGAAGTGGGCATCTCGAACTGTAATGTGTATCTGAATCACCTGGGTGATAGATGCACTTCTGAATCAGGTCTGAAGTGGGGCCTGAGGTTTTGCATGTGTAACAGGCACCCAGGGTTCCGGCCCCCTTTGCTTCTCCAGAAGGGGCTGAGGAATAGGGGATAGGTTGTTTCCTCCAGAAACCAATCAGACTCTTTCAATATGTCCAGCTCTTTCCAGGTTTCCTTCATACCAAGTAACTAAATCCCCGATTAGTGTCAGTTCTCCTTTACCCCTCCTTGAGGGCCCCTCTGAAAAACGTACATACCTTCCAGATGTTTGACAATGCCCCGAAGGCTGTTACCATGGGCTGCAATCAGTACCCGTTTCCCCTCCTTAATCTGGGGCACTATTTCTTCATTCCAAAAGGGCAGAGCTCTGGCAATAGTGTCCTTCAGACTCTCACAGGAGGGTAGCTGATCTTCAGTGAGGTCTGCATACCTGCGATCCTAAACAAAAAAAATCCAAGCTCACCAGTTATTAGCAGTTGTTTCTGTTCTGCCCATTCCTCATCCCCTAAGGGGTCAAAGTGATGGGTCTCTCCCCAGAGCACAAAATGCAGCTGAGAGCCTGCGAAAGAGATAATCATTACCCTGCCCCTTTCTCCCCATCACCCACTACTAGGAAATCTAACAGTTCAAAGAAAATACAAAAAAGGAGAAAAAGGCTCTTCCCAATTCATTTTATCTTACAATTGGCTTAGGAAGGCCCTATACCTATAGATAGGTTTTACAAACTATGGTAGTGGAGATATAAAAAAAAAGGTATAAATTGTTTTTACATAAACAATCAACTAAGTCTTTTAACAAGTGAAGGCCATTCCTTGGAGAAAGGGGATTACGTATAATTTATGAACTTTTATCATAAATTACAAACTCAATAGGACTACACCACACTAATAAAAGCTAGAGTGAGGCCCAGATGCCCTGGCCGGTGGGGCTAGGTGGTTAGAGTGTCGGCCCACCAAGAGTCGAGGGTTCTACCCAGCGTGCGGGAGGCAACCAATCGATGTGTCTCTTTCACATTGCTATTGCTCTCTCTTCCCCTCTCCCTTCCACTCTCTCTCAAAATCACTGGAAAATATCCTCGGATAAGGAATAACCCCCCGCCTCCCCTGCAAAAAGAGTGGCCCATATTCTAATCCCCTGGTCCTAGGTTGAGTGACCCAAACCTCAGTTTGTACATACCTTACTGATATTGCTGTAGAAGGGATGGTCGGGCTCCATCGGTGGTGGTGGGATATCGTAAGAGCGCCTCCAGATCTTTACCTGGGCCTCGCCATGCTTGGCAGCAGTTTCTGCTTTGTTAAGACCAGTCAGACCCCCATAGTGCCGCTCATTGAGACGCCAGGTCCTCACTACAGGCAGCCACATCTGGTCAATGGCATCCAGCACAGTCCAGAGCGTCCGAATTGCTCTCTTCTGCACTGAGGTGAAGCAGATGTCAAACTCGTAGCCGGCATCTAGAAATTGTAAGTTCAAAGTGGTAAGCTAATCAGGTCCACTCTGGAGTCAGAATTTTCTTACATATACGTACGGTAGTACAAATGAAAAATATTTGGCAAATATTTCATTTTGTATACTCTCGCAGGAAAAGCAATATTCTACCTTCAGGAAGATAAAATTCGTTGACTTATGTTACAGTTGACGAAGTACCTTCCACAATTCTTTCAAGAAAAGGATCCCAAAAACTTGGAATCTCTTAATAAATAAAATTTATAGAGGGCTCACCATCTATCAGGCACTGGACTAAGTACTTAGTGTTTTATTTAGTCTTCATAACAATCCTATGAGGTTACAATCCTTAAAACCTATTCTACCAGATAAGAAAAATGTAGACTAGATGAGTTAAGCAAATTATGCAAAGACACAGCTATTACCTGAGAGATTAAAACCCAGGCTGTGTGTGATCCCAAAATCCAACTTATAGCCAACTTATAGGTATTAAGATTTTAAATGTGACTTTTTAAAACTAATGCTACCAACATTTACTTAAAAACTGAAATAGGCTCTGTTATTTTAAGAGAGATTACAAATTCAACCTTTTGACCAGCCTTAGAGGACAGCCACAGTGTCTGTCCTGGGCTAATCAGCAAACCACCACAGACCCAGACGGTTCTTTCTGGCGGCTGCAGGGGAGAAAATGGCCTCCTTCGCCAGCACTTTCCCTTTCCCCGCCCCCCTACACAGTATGAGACCATCCCCAAGTATCCACGTGCCTGCAGCAAGACTGCATTTCCCAGACTTTCCAAACCTTTGCTCTATTTCCAAAGGATCTACAGTGAAGGCAAGAAAGCTAGAGAGGGCAACCTGGGGCCGAACATCTGTCCCACAACAACCAGGCATCAGTGACCTGGTTTCTTTGTCCAGGGGTGAGAAGGGAGCAGGGGCAGACCTAGCCAAGCACCTCCTCAGTCCAAAGATTCTTCGGCTGCTGGCAGCAGGGAATGCTCCCTCACCAGCATTCCAAAATCACAGCCCTGCCTGCCACAGGGGCAACCCTGCTGGGCAAGCTTATCTCACTGCCACATCCACCTTTGCCCCGCGTCCTTGGCCAGCGGCCTACCAGCTCCTCACACCTTCCCCTTACTCAACCCAGAACTTAAGCCAATGCACTGGACTAAGAAGATATGACCTTGGACAAGTCATCTTTCCAGTCCTCACTATCCCAACTCTAAGAGGGCCAGGAAAGGATGGGAAGGAGGGGCAGAACTTGTGTATTTTACGGGGCTGTGGAGAGGATCGACTGGACTCATTCATTCATTCATTCATTCGCTCAATTACATTTGCGGATGCATTTTGTGTATAGCATTTGTAGAATGCCGCTGAGCAGCAAAGGCCTACACAAGAAAGGGATTTCTTGGTGAACTGATGTCTGCTGGACTCCCCCCGCCCCAGCCAAGCGGGACTCCTCCCACAGCGGGAGATAAGCGTGTGCCTGTGGCTTCCCTAGGCTCTGCAGCAGCCTCTAGAGGAGGCTTGGTTCCGGATGCTGGGAGACACCGGGCATCCAATGTAACAACCCGCCCGGGAGTTACTAAATGCTCAGACCAGAAAGGAGAATTTCGCAAGGCGATGTCGCGGAGAGCACCGCCGGCTGCCGGGTGGCCGCCCCGGGTCCACTTCCTGGTACGAGGCCCCCACGCTCTCCTGGGTGACCTTGAGCAAGTCGATTCCCCACCCTGGGCCCATTTTCTCAACTGCAAAACACACGGCTGGAGAGATGAATCCCAGGGTCTCGGCCCGCTCCGGGAGGGTGCGGGGACGAGCCAGGCGACCCTGATGGAGCAGTGCACGCCCGG